GATGTTTCAGCGTAGGAGTAACTGAGTGAGAGAAGTATTTCAAGAAAAATGGCCTCAAGAATTTTGGCCAACAATGGTTGACGCCCTAAAACTCTCCCATTGAGTTCGTTCAGCTTATCTGAACATCTGTTAACAGCAGGATTGACACGGTAAAGGTCCCAATTTCATTTTCAATACCTCTCCAGGGCATATCACAAAGCGTCGCCTTTTCTAGTTATCTATTATCTTGGTACGTGGTCCACCCCCCCCCCCTGGCCGCTGCTGCCCCCCATTCGAAAAGCTGAGAGAGGAAGAGAGGGAGACGGAGAGTGGGCCCCAAGGTACCTTTTACCTCAATACCTGAAAACCAGGCAGGTGGGACTTGAATAGCATAAGGACCAGAAAGGAAAGAATATACAAGAGGTGGGGAGAGGGGGGGAATTCTCTTTGACATCCCGAAGGGTCACCTGACCTGCCACTCTTTATACCTGCGTGGTACCCTCCGAGGCTACACTATTTGCATCGTGCAAACATACAACATCCAGTTTTTACTCGTCGATATTTCGTTTTATTTGTCTTATTCTGGCGGTGTTTGCGTGTTTGCGAGAGGCAAATTCGGAAGTCAGTTCTCTCTGATTATTTTTAATGATTTTTTAGGGAGGGGGCAGGGGGAGGAGGGAGAGTCAGGTGGAGTTTATCAGATTTTATCGGGTCTTCACTCGGTGGAAGTAGTCAATAAATATTGGTGATGATGGACGGGGGCTCGGAGATTTGCTTGGCTTTGTTCACTTTTTATGGGTGCGAAGTTTTGTGGTTTTTGGAGTTAGTAGAAGTTTGGTGGAGAGTTGGAAAAGTGAGAATTTCAGGGGATTTTTTTAGGGCGTGAAATTTATTATGAAAAAGGGTTTTTGATGGTTTTTCGTTGATCTTCTGGGGTTAAAAATATTTGAGGGAGACTATAGGTTTTTTTTTAAATATCTCTGAAGATGAAGTTAATCTGAAAATGACGAGGAAATTTTTTCGCAAGACATGAATGTCCCACGAAAAGCTTTTCTGAGTTTAACGAAAAATCGAAAAAAAAATTCCTATGCGGAACATTAAATTCTCCAGAAACAAAACTAAAACTTTTCTGACATATTTATCAGATAAACTGTGAAAGTTTTCTCCAGAAATAAAAGAGTTTAACATTTTTTATACAATTTCTTCAGCCCTCTTGACAAAAAATCCCTTTACAATTTTCATCTGAATCCACTAGTTTCCCAAGAGCAACAAGTTGATGAAATCTATTCTATTTCTTGGAAACTACCAGATTTATCGAAAAATGTCAAAAGAGCTTTTTCGTAGTCCATAAAAATTTTGACAAAAAATGCCTTCTAACATTTCGCTCTAAACTCACAAGTTTTGGAGATATTCTCCAGTGAAAAAGTTAATAATTACCTTGCTCTCGAGAGATTGCATATTCGTTCGATTCCCCAAAATGGAACAATCAGAGCGTTCCATCGTAGTGCCCTGTGTGTCTCTGTAAAACTTAATCTGCGGGGAAATTCTACCAGTGTCAACCGCTGTTATACCAATTTGCCTGTTGTTAATGAGCGATCGAAGGAGATTCGTAGCTTCACCGGTAAAACCATTATTAAATTTATCACCATTAGTCCTTGTTATCTCTAAACTCCGATTGCTGGAATACAAAAGAATCCAATAACAGTGATTTTTATACGTGATTGAGTATCGTCACACTTATTGTATGTAAATGTACGTCATGAGGGAAAATAAAAGAATTTACTGAGTGATATCACACCTATCTCATTATTATTCAATCTCAATTTGCAATCATGACTATTTATAGAACGCAAAAACATTTCTTTTAAAATACTTGCGGTGTTATTCGATCGGGAGTTTTATGGGGTTATTTAGTGATTAATTATAGGGAGAATTTGAGGGAAAATAAAAATTTGTGTTGAATTTTTTTAGAATATTGGAATATTGGGAAAGTGGAGTGAATCATGGGAAAAAAATGCAATGATTAATGGTAAGAATGTGGATGACATTTTTTGTAGGGAATTTATTTATTCAGTTACCCTAAAATCATTCCCTATTCAGATAATGCAAAATTTAAAAAACCCCAATTTCATCAAAATTTTTATTTACTGAATTCGATTTTTAATCTTTTGCTAATAGTTCAAGTATCTCAATCACGAGTAATTGGGCGAAAAAATGTCAATAGACATTTTTTGTAGAGAACCTCTTCAGCTGTAAAAATTTTCTTTCGACATTTTCCCCTAAAACCGCTCCTTATCAACATAATTCTCAATAAACAAAAATGTGAAACATGATTTTCAACTTTTTATCACTTCACAAGTTTCAACCAAATAAATGTTTTATTAATGTTACTGTCCACAATATATGCACAGATGGACAAATAAACAATCGAAATATTGAATATAAAAATATAATAAATAGGAAAGAATAGTTAATTTTGTTGCAAATACGCGGAGAATGATTGATTTAACTGAGGTGTTGTCCACCTAAATTTTTAAAATAAAAATAACAATGAAAAATAAAACTCACTTAGCAAGTGCCTGCCACAACTTGGTCGTCTCCTGATCGATGTTAGTATCGGAGCAGTTGCTCTCAGGTGTGTCCATTCGATTAACTGGACTGCGATTGGGTGACTCTCTCTTACAATCATCATAATTATCCTCGACTTTCCTACGTTTGACAGTCATGTCATACCCATTCTCATCGGCATCATCGTCATTGTCCTCGCGATCCTCAATTTCCAATCTGTCTGGATCCGAGCTGTTGGAGCACGTGTCGTCCTCAGGCTCACACTTAAGATTATCAGATTCAGGCACATCGTTGGCCCTTAATTCGAGATGATGGGTCTGTGTTTGAGGTAATACATTTTGATTGATGCTTGCCGGTGAATTTGGCTCTTCATTGAAGAGGGTTTTGTTGAGTTGTAGAAATGATTGGAGTGGAGTCAGATCAGCTATTTTGGCAGTGGAGAAAGACTTGTCCTGAAAAAAAAACATGAATTTTAAGACAAAACAAAAATTATTTGAATGATTCAATGCAATTTATTTATTTTGAATGGCGAATTCTCCCATAAAAAAATACAAAGACATATCAACAAACATTCTCTACACGAAAATAAATTCTCTACAAAAATTTCTATTAACATTTCCCCCTGGATCAATTCATATTCTCGGAATATTCTCCATCGGAATATTTAATTCAGTGGATTTTTAAGGATGTTCGACACCCTTTTAGCCAAAATTGACGTTGTTTTCATTTTTCTGGCAAATTATCGATGGGAGTGACGTGAAAAAATATAACGATTTTGTGGTTTGTCATTCTTTAATGGCTCACGAAGTTGCGTAGTGGTGCGATAATTTTCATGCGTTTTTTCTACAGTTTTGTGATTCTTTTTAAAAGTTTAGAGAAAAGCTTTTTGTCATTAAATAATGACAAAACGCAAAAACGTTATATTTTGTTACGTCAATTCCATCATAACTTTGCCAGAAAAATTAAAAAAACGTGAATTTTGGCAGAAAGGGTGTAGAACATCCTTAAGGGTGTGAGTCAAACAATCAAGTAAGCAGATGTTTTTAAATTTGAAAGTTTGTATACCTCTTGAAATTAATTTTACCCATACATTCGCCTAAATGAAAACTTCCGCAGTATAGAAATGTGTTGAAACTCCTCAAGAGAAATTTTTTGCAATGAAAATTGAGATCTACAATAAAGACTCCGATAAAGAATTCTATATTTCGCAGTGTTCCACGAAAACTAATCTAAAAACAGAATCCCCCCATTTCACTTCCTTTATTCTTTATCTTTATTCCTCAAGTGATATGATAATGTTAATGTGATAAGGTGTCATGTGCACTTGCTGCACATTTTGTCACGTTTGTTAGTGTCAGCAAAATGTGCCAATTGTCTTTCGCAACGTGACATCTTTTTCGTATTATTGTAACAGGTGTTTGAACTAAAGGTAATAATTTTTTAATCATACCTGATTGTCTGGTGATGACAACTGCTTGGCATAGTCCAGGTACTGTTTGAGTATGACATCGGATTTACGTGATACTTCCCGAAAATTGTGCAACACATCCAGTTTGTACACACAACGGTGACAGATGATGGGTGGCATGGAGTCGCCATCGTTCACCTGAAATAATTATGCTGACTGAGTCGATAATTTTCAATGAGTTATCGATAATGAATCACTGGTGAGTGGAGGAGTGTGAGAAACATAATCAGTTCAGATGACCAATAAGTAAAGGGCAATCTCTGCAGAAATTGAAAGATAAGGGGGAAAAAATCTGATAACATAATCAATTGGATATGTAATTAACTGATAACAGGAGATAACTCGGAAACTGATAGGCAAATCATTAGGGAAATGTCTCTGAAACGATGCATTCAGAGCAAAATGTCAAGAGATTTTTTTTGTAGAGACTTTAAATTTAAATTTAAGCACCGGATGGATTATCTTTCTAATCTCGATTGTTTTTATTATTTTAACTATTTTCAGTCATCAAATTTAATAGTTAAATTGCGTGAGAAAAATTGGAGAAAAATTGTGAATATTCAGCGTCAATCAAATTACATTTTGCACAGAATTATAATTTTTTAAAACAGTCGTTGTTTATGAATAAATCATTGAAATTGGGTATACTTTCGGTAACTTGAGTTTTTCAAGTAGGAAATCGATTTCTGGTAAAATTTTAAATATAAATAAATTTGTTATGATTCCGAACAAGTGATTTTTATGGTGAAAAATTGATTGTTGATAAATTATTTACAGAAAATCCTCGTATCGTTAAAAATTGCAATTTTTAAGTGATTTCATCAATTTAATTTTTTGAGATTGTCTAAATGTTTTCTAACGGTTCAATATCGAGATTCCAATTCAGACCTGTAAACTTTAAATAACAGAATCATCGTAAAATGTCCGAAATCTTAGGGTCAAATGGGGCTCAACTAAAAGCTGATGTTTGACAAAAGCAGAAAAGCATTTCACTGGAGAAAAAATCGCCAAAGTACTTGGATACCTTTGAATCATTCCTTATTTCCATTCTTTATTTTTCTATGAAGAAATTTAAAAAAAAACCAAGACTTCTGTTAACAATAAGTTTAAAACAAAATCAAAGTAAAATGTAATGTTGCACGAGTAAAAATCCGGTCCAGATTAATCAAATTTTTAAATTCTTTCTGTATGTTCCTCTCCTCGTACTAATTGCTCAACAATTCCCACACTATACCCAGGACCATCTAATCCGGAAGGATAGCTTGTGCAGTTACCCATTTCAATCCAGCCACCCCCTAAAAATATTGCCTCCACTTATCTCGAAACCTGCTTCTCCCCAAAAAACAAGACCCCTTTCCGCTCCCAAACTTTCCCAAAAAGACCCCCGACATTTTCCCCGAGGCGCATCGTTCCTCAGATACTCCCAAAATACTCCCCAAACCCTCATCTCCTCAAACAAAGAGCCAATGCTCCTCTCTCCCAATTATCACCTCCCCCTAATCACCTCCC